CATCATTGAGGCACGCATGCAGGAGGTTTGTGGGATGGATGATAATAACCATTTGTCATTAAATTGTATGCTTACATGATTTCAAAAGATAGAAATGACAATGTGTTAAGACTGTTGGGGCAACATCAAAACATATGGAAACAAATACTCTTTTACCTTGACAAAAAATACTCTGACGCGCGTACCACGCATAAATAATCATTTATCATTCGCTCAATAATAACACATGGTGTAACACAGAAGTATTGACTGCATTCAGAGGGCGTGTAATTCGGAGGTCGTGCTGACGTTTTGCAGTGTTCTAAAAATATGTGAGATTAACATATCAGTGATATTAAACAGCCTTTCATATGATAATCAAACAATATGGTTGTTTTACCTACAAACAAAAGCTCAGATAGAGAACCACCTAGACAATATTAGATGTTAACATTTAAGATCCTCATAACTACTGCTATGAAAAGTTGTCTTTGTACAATTACTTCCAAACTCCTTGTCTGTAATGGGCTTAATACCTGGGTCCTCTTTACCACTATCTAAAGTTGTGAGCTTTCATTAACTTAAAATTGGAAAATAATAAAAATAGTAATAATTCGAGGTTATTATATACCGCTTTATGACAACCTAGTTCGAAGGTCGTCTCACAGCGGTTTACAAATTATTTTTCTTTGTGATAGGGCCTTTGCAACCAGTTAATATATTTTTTAATTCCCTGGGGAGCATACAGCCGGTGCTCACAGCTAGCATTTAACAATTCTAGCACTGCCAAACCACGTACTCATTTAAAACTGAGTAGAATGGGAAAATCGGAGTAAAGTATCCTGTTCATAGATACAACACAGTGCCGTGGCGTGACTAAAACACGCAACCCTTCGGTAAGAAGCCCGGCGTTCTATTTACTAGACTTCTGTGTATATTATGCCAAAGGTTTTTGATACGAAGACATTTCAGAAATAATCGGTACAAGATTTAATTTTAAGATAATGCGACAGCTGGACTGGTTTAAATATAAATAAAATAATGTGGCTCTGGTTAGTAATAAAATAGGTTATGACCATATCATTGACGGAATCTTATTAAGGATCCCGCAGGATGATGACCAGAGCCCTGAGAATATATAAGACGTTTGTGATCATGGGCGTTCCTGGTTCATACGTTTGCTACATGTAATCCTACAATGTACATTGTGGCGCGTTAAGATGTCGTTCTATTCGTCTTGTCTTTTCTCGTCTGAAACTTTAGCTTTTCCTTCAGGTCAAGATCACTGACAGTTTCTAACAAAATCCTAGTTCAGAGTCAAAACTAAATAAAAAAAGGGGAAATAAGGAGATACATTTACATTTGTGTTGCAGTCCCTTTAGATAACAGTATCAACTCAAAATGTCGTTATGATTGAATAAAAGCAAGTGTGTAGTAATATTAACAGTACGACATGTACCGTTATATGACCTATGACCTCACTATGTAAACAACAGTCTACCCCCATTCACCACGGTTTTAAAACATAAAGATATACTTTATGAATTGAATTTTTAAATCTGTGTTAACACCTATGAACTTGTCAACAAGAAATCACACTGTTTAATTAAATAAGGGTGCTGAAATAAGATAAAATACACAGCACACTGTCTTCGTGCCGCTGCAGTACAGGCGCCGTATGCCTGTGGTTTGAATCATGGCACATCATGTTTATGTCGGGTCATCGAAGTGAGTCTGCTATGAGATTCTAAAACAGGTCCTTTTCAACAAAACAGGTGAAGCAGATCAAATCTTCCCGGCTCGTCGGCCGGTCCCCTTAGCAACAGTAGCACATGCCGAATGCTCCAACAATGAGCTAGTCCCGACAGTCGGTCGACAAAATAATTCAGTTAACAGCAATTAAATCGTCATCTGGTTTTTTAAAGCCAAAAGTGAGGTGCTGTCAAGGAAGGCGCTATGAAATTAAAGGTAGTTAGAAGTAGAGAGAAAGATAAAGATCCCAAATATTGCAATGGGCGCAGCAGTTTTATTTTGATCGCTTTTGTGTCCCCAAATAGAGGACACCAACGCAAAACCCTAACTCCCCTAAGGGGGAGCTTAGCTTCGCACTACCGTTGTTTATCGGGCAGCTATTTTCGCAATCAATGATACTTTGCTCACTAGTTATAACTTTAAAAAAAAATGTTACATATTAAGATCTACTGTCAACCAATGATTGTTAAACATGCTGGTGCTTGGGGCGTTATGGGGCATTTTTGGCCTCATAAAAAGTAAAATAAAATAACATCAGTCGATCAAGTGGGGCTATCTTTCTTGGTTCAAATTTTTCCAATGCGCATGCGTAGATGCCTTACCATAGCAACGAAATTGCAATGCCATACAGAAATAGCCAAAATATGGTGTGTTTTGACAGTTAGCAAGCAGAAACTAAAGCCTCCGTATGTTACACAAAAAAAATACTTTCTTCGAATGAAAACTATTATGATGATGCTTAAGCATGTGAAATATTTTTGTTGCATGGGGAGGCTTTCACAAATTGAATAGTGTTTATCTAATTCCTTCAAAATAGCTTATTTTCAACCAAATAGCGCAAATACCGAATAACAGACGATATTCACGGGTTTATGTCTCTCTTTGTAATGCCAAATCTCCTTAACCAGTTTTCGAACGAATTTGAAATCTCATATTTGCACACTTCATTTATTTCAAATGACGAATAAAAAGACTAGTTCACAATCCCCGATGAATCCGAAAATGACCTTTAACGCCCAAAGTTCTTTAATGATTAAAAATATGCAAAGTGGAACAATTTGTTCATTGCACAACTGCGTATTTTGTCACCATTTCCAACACATCATCTTTCACGCGAAAAAAAGACTGTTAAATTAATGTTGTTTTCAGGACGGTGTATTGCTTTCATACGTGAAAAAAACTAGTTTTTCTTAAATGATAAAAGTGAATGTAATAGAACGTAAATATAGGGTTGGAAATAGTTTTTTAACATTGATTAGGGTATACAACTACTATAAGTTCTGTTTCAATGTATTCCATGTTACGCGTTAAATAAAAACAAAAAAAGAACAATCACATTGGCCAAAACAAAACAAAAAACAAAAAAAATAACAATTCAAGTGTCTCTCTCATGACACACCTACAGGTTATCTAAATCTGTTCTACTTCAAGTGTCTATCAAGACACACCTACAGTCTACCTACAGCTCGTATAGTTCAAATGTCTCTCATGACACACCTACAGTTAACCTACAGCTGTTATACTTCAGATGCCTCTCATGACACACCTACAGCTGTTATACTTCAAGTGTCTCTCAAGACACACATACAGTCTACCTACAGCTGTTATACTGCAGGTGCCTCTCATGTCACACCTACTGTCTACCTACAGCTGTTATACTCCAGGTGTCTCTCAAGACACACATACAAGTTACCTATAACTGTTATACTTCAGGTGTCTTTCATGACACACCTACAGTCTACATACAGCTGTTATACTTCAAGTGTCTTTCATGACACACCTACAGTCTACTGTACCTACAGCTGTTATACTTCAAGTGTCTCTCAAGACACACATACAGTCTACCTACAGCTGTTATACTACAGGTGCCTTTCATGACACACCTACAGTCTACCTACAGCTGTTATACTTCAGGTGCCTCTTATGACACACCTTATAGTCTACCAACAGCTCGTGTAATTCAAGTGTCTCTCTCATGACACACCTACAGTCTACATACAGCTCGTATGATTCAAGTGTCTCTCTCATGACACACCTACAGCTGTTTTACTTCAAGTGTCTATCAAGACACACATACAGTCTACCTACAGCTGTTATACTTCAGGTGCCTATCATGACACACCTACAGATTACCTACAGCTCGTATATTTCAGGTGCCTATCATGACATACCTACAGTCTACCTACAGCTGTTATACTTCAGGTACCGCTCATGACACAACTACAGTTGTTTTACTTCAAGTGCCTCTCAAGACACACCTACAGGTTACCTACTGCTGTTATACTTCAAGTGTCCCTCATGACATACCTACAGTCTACCGACAGCTGTTATACTTCAGGTACCTCTCATGACACACCTACAGTCTACTTACAGCTGTTATACTTCAGGTGCCTTTCATGACACACCTACAGTCTACCTACAGTTGTTATACTTCAGGTGCCTTTCATGACACACCTACAGTCTACCTACAGCTGTTATACTTCCAGTGTCGCTCTTGACATACCCACAGTTTATTATTATATTTCCAAGGTCTCTGCTAAAAATCCTACCGTTTATCTAAAGTTGTAATACTTGCTATATCCTACCTAGTCATACGTATCATTTTACCTAAAGCTGGTATATTTTCAAAGCATTGCTGAAGGCACTTCTACTTTGCGTTCATGTGTTATGACCATTAGATGTCATACCCAGTGAATGGCTACGTTAACTGTTTCCGTAGTAACGAAACTCTTATAAAGTATCAAATATTTAATGAATAGTAACAGATTGACCTCATTCTTTCTTTTCTGGACGATTGCCATATTTCTAAACGCATGCAGTCTACTATACAATTGACAGTACCCTGCAAGGTCATTTTTAGAAGAATTTACTTTTCAATTCAACCTATGCTTTGGAATTGCTATTCGAAGGTAGTTTCATAGTGTGTCAACTGATATAGAAAAGTGACAACAATCGTTTTCTTATTGCGTTGTATAGTTTAAATGGTCAAGTGTGCTTACATCTTCATGCACACCGATGTGTTATAAACGCTCTCATTATATACAGTAGTGTACATTGTGTATTCATATATCAGATTCTTATGTTTAAATAACTAACTATTAAATGTTATGGTTTTTCATTTGAATTATTTTTTTAATAATATTGACTTCGTGATTATGTTAGATGCTACATTACTATTAAAACATGTCACAGATATTTTTACAAGCATTTTGAAGTTCTTTAAATACGTATACATGTAGATTACTAATAAAAATGGAATAAAATCATACCTACTTGGTGACGTGTTCAAATGTCCTCAACAAATTCGTTTAGGTATCCCGTTTACAACAACGTTAAACATGCGGGGAGTTTGCAACATTGTCGGATCGCCATGAACCTTCTGTTTCTAGTTTCAGTTGGTTGTAGTCGCGGTCAAATGAGTCAGGTACACAGACGATGTAGAGAGCACACAAAACAGAACTTGCTGTTACGGTACCTGTGAAAGATCAATAACCAGTTAATTATTAACATGCATATGAAAGCAACAACAATGATGACCGCCGATCCGGGCACATATATAAAAGGGGATAAATTAAAATGTTCATGATTTGGTTGGTGTGGCGTCACGCATGGGATTCGACCAGGGCCGTTTTCGTTTAAACAGTCAAACCGGTTGGACCACATTTGTTCGTTTATTAAATAAGGTCGGACCTAGTAATATGATGCTTCTTTCAGGCAAGCCTTGGCAAAGCCTTGCAAGGCCTACATAAACATTTGCAGGTCCGACAGGATTTATACACAAATTGTTACATTCATAAACGGTCAAACCGGTTGTTCCGCATAAACGAACAGGCCCCTGCTTCGCATCATATGGCCCTGGCTAACATTTATTTTCGAGCTTTTACTAAAAACAAATCATGCGGAATTTAAAGTTGAAAGTTATTATACAAATCGAACCGCCGGCTTCGGATCACAAAGTCACTGTATGACTGGCTATGTATAAAGGTGTTTTTCTATACATAGATTTACCGATACGAGTTGTTGTCTCTGGAACAGTTTGCATGGACGACACGTCGGGTGGGTGGGTGGGCGGAGGAGTCGGTAGTTTGGCTGCATAGATATCGGACAGCAAAAGTCAAATCACCTTTTTTTGTTCGGTGACACAACAACGGAGGCTCCCTCACTGAACAGAACGAAGCAAATGTAGAGTGCGAATATCAACACGAGGCTTGGATTTCAGATGACTTCTTCGTTTTAAAAGAAATAATTAGGTTTTCAATGCAATCTTCACATGTTACAAGCTTATACTTTTTAGCTTATTACTTTCGTCATGTCGACGAAGATGGACTTAATGTATAACTGTATCTTTGTTGCAAATTTCACCATGGTTTCGGGGGCGCCATTAAGGAAATGACGCGTTGAATTTTTTCCTATATTACGTGTATCATAACTATAAACGTGTTGACATATTTTACCTCCGTATCTTTGAATGTAGGTCAAGATCTGTTATGTAAGGCTTCATCTCAGAAAGCTACAAGCTTAATAGCAAGACTCTGAGCATTTTGATTCTTCAAAAAAAGTTATTTGAAGTTTTTGACATATTTGACCAATGTGACCTTAACATAGGGTCTAGGTAATTCATTTGTTATTCACAAAACATGGTTTGGGCTATAACCAAGGAATCTGCTAGGCTTATTCATGACTCCATGCCTTTCGGTTTTTCAGAAGAATGTTATGAAGTCTTTTTCACATATCTGGCCTGTGTGACCTTGAAAGTAGATCCAGGTTCATAAACATTGTTGGGTTCCTTCCATATGATCTACCACGGTTATATCACAATTCTCCCCTAGTCGCTGCACCTTTCTGTGGTATGGGGATTGAGTACCTCAATGACCTGGATAGCGAGTCTGGCTGGGGCTTTGTGATTCTGGTAGGGTCACCAAAGCCAGACAGGTTGAAAGGTAGAGGTCAGTTCGGTCAGGTCAGGCCGGGACGCAAATGCTAGGTTTGCACCGTTGTGCATTCCTTCCTGGGGGGTTGGTATACAGGTGTCTGCCTTCGGGCCAGCGCTTTGTGCATTCCTCTGGAATTGTCGGGCCATAGTAAATCATCGTAGTCTCATGTATATAGTGTGGATTTTGTTTCTGTCCTTTCTCTCATTTTATTTCTCTTTGTTCTTTCACCTTTTTCAAACCTTTAAAGCTTGATTTAGCATTTGTTTGTTTTTGTCGACAATTTGTTGGCCCTAATGACCTAGTATGTGTTGATTGGCCGTTAAGCATTAATACTAATAATAATATATCATAATTCTAGGCCATTTTATTCCTAAGCAGAAGTCGTCTGAAGTTTTAGACATATCTGACCCAAGAGAGGTTTTTTTAACTAACAAAAGTATAGATAAAACTGATATACTATTGATTTTTCTTACCTGTCACTCAGCACAAATGAATTAATATGCAGATACCGTGCAAATAGGTTATTAGAGTACTATAAAGGATGTTATACTTCCAAAGCTTCTGAAAATGTCAGTTACATAATGTATCCATTTTTAAAATTTCTTAAAATCTTGCGATGAGTGTAAGCTTATAACATATGTATAGTGAATTTGTTGGATAAGGATTAAAAAAATTATAAAGAAGCACAGGAAATTGTTTATTGTATCGTCATTATCAAAATCAAATAATATAGTCAGAATACGGAATAACTAGATTCGGCAATATACTGCATCCAATTTCTAAATTGGGTATGCGTTGCGAAATAATACATCGCGCCGTGATGCTCTCTACTAGACAAAATAAATAAAATGAAATACTCATGAGAACACTTAAATGTGTTTAATTATTTCAATCTTATACTGTAATTGATACCTATTGTCCATTGTCCATTTCATTCTAAAAATAATTTCGTTTCTAAGAGCGCAGCTCTTCCTGTGCCGAAGTCGCAAGAAACGAAGTCGCAAGAAGCGAAGCTTTTTTCCGGTAACATTTGTACGAACAATTGAAGTCATGGTAACGTCGAAATACTATGCTTCCAAAATCCTTCGTCACGGAAGTAGCTATTATAGAGTTACCGCGGTTCTATTTTTACGATAATGGTTAGCTTTTCTACACATTCTCAAAAAGATCTCTTTATTTGATAAAAAAAATAAATTCTGTGGTTATGTAAATTCATGACATTAAAATTATAAAAACTGAAGCTTCATTTAAATGTTCAATCTTTTCTTCTCTAAACCCAAGCCGGAAGTATATAATAACTACCAAACCAGACGGAAATCCGGATATGTTTGGGCTATTGTGATTCTCTTTTACACGATTTAGAGGGATCAGGCAAAGTATATCATCATATAGCAACAGATTCAAGTATATCATAAAAAAAAAAAACAATTACAGGTCAATTTTGTATGTATTAATATGGGTAATGTTATGATTATAGTCTACTATCGAAACAAAAGTGCGAGCTGCGCACTTTCCAGGCCATGCCTGAGTCATATTAATATTACCATTTACGCAAAGCAAAAAACAACAATTATTGTCCAATAATTATTTTACGAAAAATGTTAGAGTTTGATGCATCAGTGCATTATACATACATGAATTGTTTACATACAATCATAATCGAGACATACCATTAATACTGAGTAGAGATAATATCATTACAGCAGCCTTATTCGATACGAAAGGTGATGTTTGGCTGGGTTTCATATTGTTAAACGTCCTATCAAGAGCGAAGCTCTTTAATGGTAACACATGCGTGTATAAACAGAGTTGCTTCCCCTTGCTACACATTGCTTTTGTTTTGCTTTTTTCTTCCGGAGGTTGCCGTTCAATGGGGAAACAGGATGTGTAAATCAACACATACACGAACATTTATATATAGTGAAACAATACTTCATGTTTTTATTACTATTTTTTTTTAGATAAAAACTAATACACAATCTGAGTGAAAAAAGTCCATCACATAAAATGTGATACTAACATTTATTACATACTTACTAATAAATACGGGTTTTTTGTATATGCGATACGACACAATTGCTCTAACCCATATCAGCCCTCGCCGTATCACACCCCCAAACCCGTATCAGCCCCCGTCGTATCACACCCCTAAACCCGTATCAGCCAGCAAAACCCATATCACACCCATTTTGGAAAAAAATCGTTTTTTAATATTTCAAAAATAAAAATAAATCATTAGATAGAAGTTTTTATTAGTTATCATGTAATAAACAGAATAAAACACGCCTTTTCCCATATTACACCCAGTATCAATCCTCGACCAATATCAGCCCTCGGGCCTTCGGCCCTTGGGCTGATATTGCAGTCTCGGGTTGATACTAGGTGTGATATGGAAAAAGACATGCATTATTTTCTATGCATTAAACTTAGTACATTGATTATTATACTATGACGTCATAATCACGTCATATTTCATCGGCCTTCATTGGTTATTTCCGGAAGGATAAAAAATAACCGTAAACTTTTGTAACTTATGTCCGTTGCATTTATCTCTTTGTCGGTGGTTCAGGACTTTCTTTTTCTCACAGGCACATAAAGTAAACACATTGACAGCTTCAAATAATATACATAAAAGCCAAGCATAGCACTAACTATCATAAAAAATAATGCTGTACTACAATAATTTATTGAAATATCAATTTTGGTACCGGGTCAACACGTAAAAAGTCGTAAAATTGGCGGGGAAATATGACGTTGTATGCTTTACGACGTCAAAATTAAGCTGATTCCAACGGAGGCCGAACTTACCCGGCCGCCTGTCTAAACTGACCCCATGGCGGGGCTCGTTCCGTCATCCGATCTTCCGACGGAAAAAGTTTAATAATTCTTCAAAAACGGACGTGCTGAATAGAACAGAACGGACTTCAATAAAACAAAAATGCCGATCTTGCCCCGTTCTCCCCCAATTGGTATGGCGGTCTTAAAATCTCATTAGAACTTGTGTGTTAGGGTCATTCTTCGACTTGCTGTCTTTAAATAAAGTTTATCTTATCTCATTTTCTTAAATCATTATGACCTCTTTCTTTTCGCTTTCGTGTTCCAAGATAGAGGCCGCCAAAGAAAATCCCCAAATCTCTTACGATACATGCAGTGGACAACAGCAGGTGTATTCTTTTCTCGATCCCCGACCTGCAGGGATGTGCGAAGGGTGATGGGTATTTTGCAATCATGTTGAAAAATACTTGATATTAGTAGAACACTTAACACAGTAAAGTAAGGGGTATTCGTTATCTGTTGATTTAGATTGACCAAACTGAAATTTACCCTACTGAGAGATTACATATGCTAGATAAAATATATATCAGACTACAAAACATACTACAGAGTGAATTTTTATGATGCTTATAAATA